CACATCTATTCTCTGCCTCCCGAGTCCCAGCTGATCGGGAGGAAATGGGGATTTTGCAGTATCCTTCCCCTGGATTGGGGTGGGAATGGAGATTTTACAGTACCCTTCCCCTGCCACACCCACCAAGCCATGCCACGCCCACCAAGCTACACCCACCACTGTATTAAAAAATTTTGAAACCCACCACTGGTGTCGTCGTAACTTCGAACGGTCAATGATCATGAACACATCCAATAGTTTTCTTGATGTGGTATGGAAATGGGTTTGCTGATGGTTTGCCTGGTTTCCTCCAGTGCAAACCAGACTTTAACCTGCTTAGCTCTATAAATTAGTCTAAGCGAGCATGTTTAGCAGACAGGCTGGATTGAAATGTGATCAGTTTGTGGCTTAATGTGTTGAGAGAAACTCAACTATGTTCTTGGCATGTTATGTGAACCAAGCCATCACCTGAAGTCATAAAAGGATTTTGGGGGGGGGATGTTTTATATGAATATAGCCTGTTCATTCAGTTTTAGGGCTTCATGTGTTGCCACATCCTAACCAGAGTAGATATGATTTGGTCTAGTAGTTAAGGCACCTGACTAGAGAACAGGACACTGTGAGTTCAAATCCTGCCTGAAATATGAAAGCCAATTGGTTGACTTTGGGCCAATCACCAGGAGATCCTGAGTTCTAATCCCGCTTTAGGCATGAAAACTGGCTGACTTTGGGCAATTACCAGGAGACACTGAGTTCTAATCCCGCCTTAAGCATGAAAACTGGCTGACTTTGGGCCAATCGCCAGGAGACGCTGAGTTCTAATCCCGCTTTAGGCATGAAAACTGGCTGACTTTGGGCCAATCGCCAGGAGACGCTGAGTTCTAATCCCGTTTTAGGCATGAAAGACACCTGGATGATTTTGGGGCCAGTCACCAGGAGACGCTGAGTTCTAATCCCGCTTTAGGCATGGAAAAACACCTGGGTGACTTTGGGGCCAGTCACTCTTTCTCAGCCCAACCCACCTCACAGGGTTGTTGTGGTGGGGAAAATAGGAGGACAGTGTACAGATAGTCCTTGACTTACAACAGTTCATCTCGTGATCATTCAGTTACAGTGGCACTGAAAAAAGTGACTTATGACCATTGTACAGACTTACGACCATAGCAACATCCCCATGGTCACGTGTTTTATATTCAGATGCTTGACAACTGACTCACATTTATAACTGTTACAGTGTCCCTACAGTGTCACCTTTTCTGACATTCTGACAAGCAAAGTCAATTGTGAAACCAGATTCACTTAGCAACCGGATTACTAATTTAACAACTGCAGCGATTCACTTAAAAACAGTGGCAAGAAAAGTGCTAAAATGGGGCAAAATCTTCACTTAGCGACCTAAATCTTGGGCTCAATTGTGGTTGTAAGTTGAGGACTACTTGTATTGAATATGTTCAGCGCCTGGAATTATTTGTAAAAAAATATATATAATAAAGGCGGAATACAAAATAAATAAAACATAAAAATCCTATGATAAGTGTTATTATTCTGTTTAAAATGACACAAAGGGGCAAATGCTCAGGCACCTCCCAATACAACACACACAAAGAATAATTATTGCCTATAGGTGTCCCCCCCCCCATTGTGCAAGGAAGGGCGAAAGTTGTGCATTTGTGACGTTTTTGTGCCAATGACCATGGCACACAATGTCATTGGAACTTGTAGTGATGTCATTAAGTGAGGCTGCTTTAAAAAGACAAAGTTGGCAGCCACAATTGTACAGGTAGGCTTTAAGCTGAGCGACTGGATTTACGACCAGTCGCTTAACTTAAAGACCATTTGAAATTACAACGGATCTCCCAGAGCTACAGACAACTCATTTTCAAAATTACGATGGACACATTCACACACATGATCATCGGATTATATTCTGGGTGCTTGGCAACCAGCTCACTTTATGGCTATTGTAGCTTGATGATGATGATGATGATTTAGGAATCAAGCTATTCTCCAAAGTACCTGAAGGCAGGACAAGAAGCAACGGATGGCAACTAATCAACCTGGAACTAAGGAGAAATTTCCTGGTAGCGAGAACAATTAATCTGTGGAACAACTTGCCACCAGAGGTTGTGAATGCTCCAACACTGGAAGTTTTTAAGAAGAGACTGGACAGTCACTTGTCTGAAATGGTATAGTGTCTCCTGCTTAAGCAGGGGGCTGGACTAGAAGACCTCCACGGTCCCCTCCAACTCTGTTATTCTATTCTATTCTATTCTATTCTATTCTATTCTATTCTATTCTATTCTATTCTATTCTATTCTATTCTATTCTATTCTATTCTATTCTATTCTATTCCAATCCATTCCAAATAAAGATTCTAATTCTATTCTATTCTATTCTATTCTATTCTATTCTATTCTATTCTATTCTATTCTATTCTATTCTAAAGTATTAATATTAGTATTATTGCTGGTTTCTTGGATTTACTTCTTGTTTCTGGCATAACGTTTCTCGTTCAGGAATATGACTGTCACATTCACTTAATGGCCGCTGCATTTGCTTAACAATTGCCTCGCCTGATGACCACAACTACTTACAACAGTACAGGTAGTCCTTTGACTTACGACCACAACTGAGCCCAAAATGTCTCTTTGTAAAGTGAGACATCGGTTAAGTGAGTTTTTTTGCCCCATTTTAGGACCTTTCTTGCCGCCGTTGTTAAGTGAATCATCGCAGTTGATAAGTTACTAACCTGGTTGTTAAGTGAATCTGGTTTCCCCATTGCCTTTGCTTCTCAGAAGGTCGCAAAAGGGTTTCACGTGACCTCGGGACACAGCGACGGTCGTAAATATGAACCAGTTGCCAAGCGTCTGAATTTTGATCACACAAGTCATCCCTGTGAAAAGCGGTCCTAAGTCACCTTTTTCTAGTGCTGTGCTAAACTTTGGTCACTAAACGAACTGTTGTAAGTCAAGGACTACCTGTATATCAACGAAAAAGCTGAAAATATTTGAACCTGCGATCCCAGCCCAACTCTGCTCTAACATGGAAATTGCTTCTAAGCTGGCTTGCTTTTGTTCATGTTTAATGGGTATTAAGGCTACTCCTCAGCGCCCAGAAAATATTGGAAAAATATTCTATTTGAACGGTTTGGGGCAGGGGTCTGCAACCTTAAACACTCAAAGAGCCATTTGGACCCATTTCCCACAGGGAAAAAAAAAAAAAAAAAACACCAGGAGCCACAAAACCTGGGGGGCGTGGCCAACTGGTCACTCACTCCCACCCAGTCACATGACCCCCTAGCCATGCCTACCCAGCCGGTCATTAGGACAGAGAACTGTTAAAAAATACCGGGAACCACAAAACCCGTTTCTCTCTTTCTCTTTCTCTCTTTCTTTCTCTCCCCCTCTCTCCCTGTATCTCTCTCTCCCCCCTCTCTGTATCTCTTTCCCCCCTCTATCTTCCCCTCTCTCCCCCTCTCTGTATCTCTCACCTCTCCCCCTCTCTCTGTATCTATCTCTTATCTCTCTCCCGTCTCCCTATCCCCCCTCTCTCTGTATCTCTCTGTTTCTCTCTCCCCCCTCTCTGTATCTCTCTCCTCCCTCTATCTTCCCCTCCCCCTCCCTCTCCCCCTCCTCTCCCTCTCCCCCTCTCCTCTCTCTGTATTATGTTTCTCCCCTTATCTCTCCCGTCTCCCTATCTCCCCCCTCTCTCTCTGTCTCTCCCCTCTGTATCTTCACCTCTCCTCTCCCCACTCTCTCTGTATCTGTTCTCTCCCCTTATCTCTCTCCCGTCTCCCTATCTCCCCCCTCTCTCTGTATCTCTCTCTCCCCTCTCTGTATCTCTTCCCCCTCTATCTTCCTCTCCCCTCTCTGTATCTCTCACCTCTCCCTCTCCCCCTCTCTCTGTATCTATGTTTCTCTCCCCCTTATCTCTCTCCCGTCTCCCTATCTCCCCTCTCTCTCTGTATCTCTTGTTTCTCTCTCCCCCCTCTGTATCTCTCCTCCCTCTTCTTCCCCTCCCCCTCTCCCCTCTCTCCCCTCTCCTCTCCCTCTCCCCTCTCCTCTCTCTGTATCTCTGTTTCTCTCCCCCTCTCTGTATCTCTCACCTCTCCCTCTCCCACTCCTCTCTGTATCTATGTTTCTTCCCCCTTATCTCTCTCGTCTCCCTCTCCCCCCTCTCTCTGTATCTGTTTCTCTCTCCCCCTCTCTGTATCTCTCTCCTCCCTCTATCTTCCCCTCCCCTCTCCCCCTCTCCTCTCTCTCTCCCCTCTCCTCTCTCTGTATGTTTCTCTCACCCTCTTATCTCTCTCCCGTCTCCCTATCTCCCCCCCTCTCTCTGTATCTCTGTTTCTCTCTCCCCCTCTCTGTATCTCTCACCTCTCCCTCTCCCCCACTCCTCTCTCTGTATCTGTTTCTTTCCCCTTCTCTTATCTCTCTCTCCCATCTCCCTATCTCCCCCTCTCTCTCTGTATCTGTGTATTTGTCTCTCACCCCTCTCTGTATCTGTTTCTCTCTCTCTCCCTCTCTTATCTCTCTCCCGTCTCCCTATATCCCCCTCTCTCTCCCCCTCTCTCCTGTATCTCTCTCTGTGTGTATTTGTCTCTCCCCCTCTCTGTATCTATGCTTCTCTCTCCCCCTCTCTGTATCTCTCTCTCTGTGTATTTGTCTCTCTCCCCCTCTCCCCTCTCTGTATCTGTTTCTCTCTCCCTCTCTCTGTATCTCTCTCTCCCCCTCTCTGTATCTCTCTCTCACCTCTCCCTCTCTATCTCCTCCTTCTCTCTGTATCTCTCTCTCTCTGTGTATTTGTCTCCCTCTCCCTCTCTCCCCCTCTCCTCTCTGTATCTCTCGGATTTCCAAAGCCAGGGGAGGAGTGACTGGGAGGGGAGGGCGAGGGGCTGGGCCAGCCAGTGATGGGACAGGGAGCCACAGCAGAGGGCCCAAAGAGCCACATGTGGCTCCGGAGCCGCGGGTTGCTGACACCCGGTTTGTGGGGTGACCACCTAGGAAGAAAAAGACGGGGCAGCGTTTCGGTTTCAATGCATTTCCAGAAAATCGTACATTGGTTGCAAGTCCCAAAGGAAAGCTGAAGGAATCGGTTCATGAAACGTTCGCCGTCCAGATCTACTGTTGGTAGATTCCCCGAAAATCAGAATCCGGTGATGTAGTGTGCTGGGAACCGTTGCTTACAAATTAACCATGGTGGGGAGAACCAAGGGGTGAGTGGAGGAGTTATGGTGAAGCCTGGATTTTCCTGTTAGTTTCCACTGAGGTGAGCTCAGTTGAAGAGAGCTACGTGGGCGAAGGGGCTGTGGGTCAGGCCGCCCCATAAGGCCCTTAGAAAGTCATCCGTCATCTGAAGAAAACCCTGTTTGGAGAAAGGTTGTCCCATCCTCTTCTTCCTTAGCTACGACATTTGTTCGGTGGGTCTCATCTGAATATCGCCGATCTGGAAGACACAGAGGGAGTTTGGTCATTGTTGCCGGGTGAAATTTGAGCAGGGAAATGTAGGTAGTCCTCAACTTACGACCCCAATGGAGCCCGCAATTGACGTGGCTGAGTGAGAAATTTGTTAAGTGAGTTTTGCCCCACTTTTACGACTTCTCCTGCCGCATTCAGGGGTGGGCTCCTGAGGGTTCGGCAGGGTTTGGGCGATCCTCTAGTCAAGGATCGCCAGGGTTCGGCGAACCGCGAAATGCCACCCCTGGCTGGCGCCCACCCTTCCCCTCCCCTCTCCGGAATCTCCACACGGCCCGTTCATCATTCCAGATAAGTGCAGGGGGGCATGGAGGGTCTGGGAGGGCGAAAAACAGGCCTCCTGGAAGTTCCGGAACTCCGGAAACAGGTCTGTTTCCAGCCTCTGGAGGGCCTCCCGACCCCGGGGGGAGCAGTTTTTGCCCTCCCGGAGGCTCGAGAAAAGCCTCCGGAGCCTGGGGAGGGAGAAAAACGACCTGCTCCCTCACCGTGGTGCAGGCAGCTGACTAGGCCACGCCCACCATGGCCACACCCACCCAGCAACGGGGCAGCGAACCCGTTGCTAAAGGATCTGAAACCCACCCCTGGCCTCATTCGTTAAGCGAATCACCACCATTCTTAAATTAGTCACATGGCTGTTAAGCGAATCCCGTTTCCCCATTGACTTTTGTCACCAAACGGGGATCACGTGATTCCAAGATACTGGAACCGTCGTAAATGTGAGTCAGTTGTCAAGCACCCAAATGTAAATCACATGTCCATGGGGATGCTGCAACGATCATAAGTGTGAAAATTGGTCAGGTCACTTTTTTCAGTGCCGTTGTAACTTTGGTCACGAAATGAACTGTTATAAGTCGAGGACTACCTGCAACAAATTTCAAGGATCCTACAGAAGTGATGGTCACTTCTGGGCAGGGGTGAAATGCTCCCGGTTCGGACCGGATCACCTGATCCGGTAGTGATGGAGGCGGGTGGTTCGGAGAACCGGTAGCAAAAATCCCTCCCCCCCCATGCCCAACTGAGCCGCACAATCATCAGTGGCTTTTTTTTTTTTTTACTTTTAAAAGCATTTTTTCTACAACCTCTTCAGCCGAAAAAATGCTTTTAAAAGTTAAAAAAAAAAAAACCCTCTGATGATCGCACAGCTCAGCTGGGATCGTCAAAGGGATCGTCAGCTGATGATCCCAGCTGAGTTGCCTGATCGGCAGAGGTTTTTTTTCTTTTAAAGCCTCTGACGATCCAAGCTGAGTTGCCTAATCAGCAGAGGTTTTTTTTTTCTTTTAAATGCCTCTGACGATCCAAGCTGAATTGCCTGATCGGCAGAGGTTTTTTTTCTTTTAAATGCCTCTGACGATCCAAGCTGAGTTGCCTAATCAGCAGAGGTTTTTTTTTTCTTTTAAATGCCTCTGACGATCCAAGCTGAATTGCCTGATCGGCAGAGGTTTTTTTTTCTTTTAAATGCCTCTGACGATCCAAGCTGAGTTGCCTAATCAGCAGAGGTTTTTTTTTCTTTTAAATGCCTCTGACGATCCAAGCTGAATTGCCTGATCGGCAGAGGTTTTTTTTCTTTTAAAAGCCTCTGACGATCCAAGCTGAGTTGCCTGATCGGTAGAGGTTTTTTTTTCTTTTAAATGCCTCTGACGATCCAAGCTGAATTGCTTGATCGGCAGAGGTTTTTTTTCTTTTAAAATCCTCTGACGATCCAAGCTGAGTTGCCTAATCGGCAGAGGTTTTTTTTCTTTTAAATGCCTCTGACGATCCAAGCTGAGTTGCCTGATCGGTAGAGATTTTTTTCTTTTAAATGCCTCTGACGATCCAAGCTGAATTGCTTGATCGGCAGAGGTTTTTTTTCTTTTAAAAGCCTCTGACGATCCAAGCTGAGTTGCCTAATCGGCAGAGGCTTTTTTTCTTTTAAATGCCTCTGACGATCCAAGCTGAGTTGCCTGATCGGCAGAGGCTTTTAAAAGAAAAAAAGCCTCTGACGATCAGGCAACTCAGCTGGGATCGTCAGAGCCTTTTGAAAGCATTTTTTTTACAACCTCTTTGCCAAAGAGGTTGTAGAAAAAATGGTTTTAAAAGTAAAAAAAAAAAAAAAGGCCACGCCCACCCGGTCACATTAACCGCCCCCCACCAAGCCACGCCCACAGAACCGGTAGTAACAAATTTTAGATTTCACTACTGCTTCTGGGGTCTCCTTTTTAGAGTTCTTTAACAAGGGCGTCCAACACTCACTAAGCCTGTTGGAGACTGAAGGCAGAAGTCTCCAAATTCGGCTTAAAACTTTTAAGACTTGTGGACTTCAACTCCCCTAACTGTAGTCATAGGAACCTGATAGAAGCAGATCAACATTTATGCATAGCATAATGTCATTGCATCCTTGAGTTAGTGATTCCATAAAGTCAGAATAATTTTTTCATCCCTTGTGGTGATGTTTGGAGATGCCATTTCCTCCCCCAGGGACCATCATGGAAATAATCTTCCCCCATCTTCCCACACATTTACAAAAAATATTCAGAGACTCCACAGTCCTACCTGTACATGAGGTGGGGCGCTGAGAACATATATTACAGCGTTGGCCATATCTTCAGCTTTTAAACACTAGGAAAGAAACAGAAACAGAATGCAGAAAAGAATAACAGAATATTGGAATTGGAAGGGACCTAAGAGGTCTTCTAGTCCAACCCCCTGCTCAGGCAGGACACCCTATACCATTTCAGACAAATGATTGTCCAGTTTCTTCTTAAAGATTTCCAGTGTTGGAGCATGTACAGTAATAGCCTAAATTGTGGAAACCTTTTGGGAAAATGTATTTTCTAAAACTAGCGAATAACACCACTTTTTTTTTTGAAATAGTCCCATAAAATTATATATCAATGGAAAGATAATTTAATCAAGAATGTAATGCAATAACTTTTATGAAGGATCTGCTATTAGGAGCCTGGATAGCTCAACAGACTAAAAGCCTGTTATTAACATTCAGCTGTCTGCAATTACTGCAAGTTCGAATCTCCCCAGGCTCAAGGTTGACTCAGCCTTCCATCCTTTCTAAGGTAGGTAAATTGAGGACCCAGTTTGTGGGGGCAATAAGCTGACTTTGTATAAAATATACAAAAAGTATGAAGGCTATTGCTTAACGCATTGTAAGCCGCCTGAGTCTCGGAGTCTCTAATTAATATATATATATATATATATATATATATATATATATATATATATATATATATATATATATATATAATAAATGAAGAGCAGTTACAGTTTAGAGAAGAAAAGTGAAATATGTAGGAAAAAAACGAGATATAAAAAAATTATCACCATAGAAAAAAATACCAAAATTATCACGATAGTTAATACTTAGTTGGGTAACCTTTAGCATGAATGATGGCCTTACAATGTCTTCCCATGGAGTGAACCAGTGGTGGGTTGCCCCGGTTCGGACCAGTTCTATAGAACCGGTAGTAAAACTGGCGGGAGGCTCCGCCCACTGACCCTGACGTCATCAGAAGCGATCTGCGCATGGGCAGAAGCAAGGCGCCTGCGCGAGCAAAGCAAGCACACGAGCGCGATCCTGTTGCGAACTGGTAGTAAAGGTAAATAGAACCCACCCTTGGAGTGAACCACGTCTTTTGAGTTCTGCAGCTGTTCTAATGTGAAACCAAGATGGAATGATGGCTTCTATTAACTGGGTTTTATTGCTGGGTCGCTTCTGACTAGCAAGTTTCTTTAGTCGGCTCCATAGATTTTCAATTGGGTGAAGGTGTGGGCTATTCCCAGGCCATTCCAGCAGTGGAATAGGATTATCTTGAAACTCCAAAAAAAAAAATGATGTTATTAGCCATCAAACCTCAAAAATACACTTTTCCAAAGGTTTCCACAATTTTGGCCACTACTATATGTGTGAAGGATCATGAAATGATCCTTCTTTTAAATTCTTTTAATCAGTCTGTGATTTCTTAACTTTCGGGCCAAAATTTATATATTATTTTAAATGTTTTTTAATATTTGTATTCTATGTTTTTTATCTTGGCTGTACACCGCCTGAGTCCTCAGGGAGAAGGGCGGTATATAAATTGGAAATTAAATTAAATTAAAAATTAAAAATGAAAGAGGGAACAACTACTAGTAAGATTTTAGAAATGGTTGCCCCAGTCAGTCTTTCTCCATCACCCATCCTCCTGTTCTCTATTGCCAAGCCAAGATTTCAGAAGTCACTGCATTTTTGAAAGGTTGACCCTCATTTCTAGCTTGTCCATCAAGGACGTCTCACCAGCTGGTGGTCCTACAGAGCCAGAGCTATTCCCTGGCTCCGATGTTACTTAGAAAATTGATAAAAATCAAGCCAGAAACCTCCTCTGTCTGATACGCAGATGATTCAAACACTGGTGTCCTTGGCTACCATCTTTTTCCAAAGATTAGCAACTTTTAAGATGTGTGGACTTCAACACCCAGAATTCCTCAGCCAGCAGGATTCTGGGAGTGGAAGTCCACACATCTTCAAGGATTCTGGCTGAGGGATTCTGGGAATTGAAGTCCACACATTTTCAAACACATTACTGGGAGCTCTGGGAATTGAAGTCCACACATCTTCAAGCACACCGGCCAGGGGATTCTGGGAGTTGATACCCGTATCTTTTAAAGCATGCAGACTGGGATCCCAAAGGGGCTTTTTCAGGAGGCAACTGGACTTTTCTTGTTTTTTCTTTGAAGACATTTCGCTTCTCATCCAAGAAGCTTCTTCAGCCCTGACTGGATGGTGGGGAATGGAAGGTGTGGGAGTATGAACGGATTTCCAGGGGAAAAAAAATTGCAGACTACAATTTGCACTACTCAGATGACCCTGAGGACACAGATAAACCTCCAGGTGGCCTCAACGACTTTCTAAAAGGATGCAAATGACCAACTATCTGCAAGGAGTATAAATCCTTCCATTCCCCACCCTCCAGTCAGAGCTGAAGAAGCTTTTTGGATGAGAAGCGAAACGTCTTCAAAGAAAAGTCCAGTTGCCTCCTGAAAAAGTACCTTTGGGAAAACCATGACCTGGATGACTGAGAAGCTCCACAAACATGCAGACTGGGGGATTCTGGGAATTGAACTCCACACATGTTCAAGCACACTGGCAGGTGGATTCTGGGAGTTATAGTTCACTCAACTTCAAGCACACTGGCTGGGGGATTCTGGGAGTTATAGTTCACTCAACTCTCAACTTTAAGCACACTGGCTAGGGGATTCTGGGAGTTATAGTTCACTCAACTCTCAACTTTAAGCACACTGGCTGGGGGATTCTGGGAGTTATAGTTCACTCAACTCTCAACTTTAAGCACACTGGCTGGGGGATTCTGGGAGTTATAGTTCACTCAACTCTCAACTTTAAGCACACTGGCTGGGGATTCTGGGAGTTATAGTTCACTCAACTCTCAACTTTAAGCACATTGGCTGGAGGATTCTGGGAGTTATAGTTCACTCAACATTAAGCACACTGGCTGGGGGATTCTGGGAGTTATAGTTCACTCAACTTTAAGCACACTGGCTGGGAGATTCTGGGAGTCAAAGTCCACATAGCTTAAAATCATCAAGCTTGTGAAACATTGTACTGTACCATCTACCTTCCCGCTCACTCTACCAGCGTGACCTCACCGTTCAAAGTCCAAAATTACCTTAACGTGTCCCAGAGTTCAGGAATTTGGAAGCACAATCAGCTTTCTATCCAGGGCTAGAGGTAAGGTGGAGTCAAGAAGTCTAGAGAGACCCACAATTCTAACCCCACATTACTCAGGATTCATCTCTGTTTACCAAAATAGCCCAAAGATCTCTGCAGCTTAGCCAAGTTAGCAATAATGCTCAGCATTCATTCCGAAATAGAATAGCTTTGCTTGATGTTGTTAAAGGCATTAAAACTATACTTTTTCCAAAGGTTTTTTTAAAAAACTTTCTGAAAATAATATTTGGTGGGCTTTTTAAAAAAAAATGGTTTCCTGCATTTAGTTATTTTAATGTGGGTTGAGCAGGCGTATTTTATTTTTAAATCTATTTTGTAATAACTTTATCCTGCCAAGGTATTATGATAGGTAGAAGAGAAATAACGTAAACAAACATATAATGCCTTGGTAAGGCCACACTTGGAATACTGCATTCAGTTTTGGTCGCCACGATGTAAAAAAGATGTGGAGACTCTGGAAAGAGTGCAGAGAAGAGCAACAAAGATGATTAGGGGACTGGAGGCTAAAACATATGAAGAACAGTTGCAGGAACTGGGCATGTCTAGTTTAATGAAGAGAAGGACCAGGGGAGACATGATAGCAGTCTTCCAATATCTGAGGGGCTGCCACAAAGAAGAGGGAGGCAAGCTATTTTCCAAAGCACCTGAAGGCAGGACAAGAAGTAATGGGTGGAAACTAATCAAGGAGAGAAGCAACCTGGAAGTAAGGAGAAATTTCCTGACAGAAAGAACAATTAATCAGTGGAACAACTTGCCTCCAGAAGTTGCGAATGCTCCAACACTGGAAGTTTTTAAGAAGAGGTTGGATAACCATTTGTCTGAAGTGGTGTAGGGTTTCCTGCCTAAGCAGGGGGTTGGACTAGAAGACCTCCAAGGTCCCTTCCAACTCTGTTATCTTATTATACAACCCCAAGTGTGTGACATACTTGCACATGTGAAAGAAAGACATGTATGTACCTGTGTGTACATATCAGTCATATACGTATATAGTATATGTATACATATCAGCCGGTCACCAAAAAAACGAGAGGATAAAACCCTAAATTTATATTAATCGAATGAATGACTTCTAACTAAAGACCTATAAAATTGGTTGCAAAATTAATTGATTTCCTCTTTTGCATCTACCCAATATACTGACAGCAAAACTGAAGACTTTCCCCCACCCCCACCCCGAAATGACTGATGAATGAAGAGGTTGCTCTTACTAAGAACAGAAGTTGCTGAAAAGGAAGGAACAGGCAGGAAGTGCAAAGGTCTACTCAGATTATGGATTTCTTGGCAGATTAGCTTGAAGTTAAGTCTTGGCTAACCCATTTATAAAATCAATCTCGTATCTGTATATGCCAATAATCTCTCTCATATACAAGTGTTTTCTCACACGGAAACAAAATGAATAATTACAGTGATAACCTCCTTCTAACAGCCAAGAGGATACAGAAGAGGAGGGGAAAGAGAAGGGAGGAGATGGAATGGGGAAGGGGAAAGAGGAGTGGGGAGGGGGAGAAGAAAAGAAGGAGACGAGTGGTCCAGTGACTGATGATATTAGCTAGTTTGGGTAATAAAATCTCTGCAAGGAAACAACCAAGCTCAAAGAGCACCAAGGACTCCTCATTTCAATTATGAGCTACAAATATTTTCCTTTATTCAAAAGAGGAGAAAGAGAAAGTAGGGGAGAAAGGAGAAGGAGGAGGAGGAAGAGGAAGAGGGGGAAGCAGAAAGAAAGAAAGAGAAAGAAAGAAGAAAAAATGGAAAGAAGAAAGAAAGAAAAAGAAAGAAAGAGGAAAGAAGGAAGGAAAGAAAGAAGGAAGGAAGGAAGAAAAAAGGGAAAGAAGGAAGGAAGGAAGAGAGAGAGAGAGAAAGAAAGAGAATGGAAGGAAGGAAAAGAAAGAAAGAAGAAAAAAGGGAAAGAAAAAAGAAAGAGGAAGAAAAGAAAGAAAGAGAAAGGAAGGAAGGAAGAAAGAAGGAAGGAAGAAAGGAAGGAAAAGAAAGAAGAAAAAAGGGAAAGAAGGAAGGAAAGAAAGAAAGAAGAAAAAAGGAAAGGAAAGAAAGAAAGAAGAAAAAAGGAAAAGAAAGAAAGAGGAAAAGAAAGAAAGCAAAAAGGAGAGGAGGAGGAGGAAGAAGGAGGAGAAGGAGAAGGAGAAGGAGAAGAAGAAGAAGAAGAAGAAGAAGAAGAAGAAGAAGAAGAAGAAGGAGAAGGAGAAGGAGAAGAAGAAGAAGAAAAGAGGAAAGGGACGATAGACAGGCTGTACCTGGAATGCTATATATCCAGTTTGAGGCATCATCAATCCAAAGGGACAGTGGCAAACTGAAGACTACTAAGATGGTGAGAAAGAGCTAAACAATTTGGGTATGATTAGCCAGAGAAAAAATAACTAAGGTAGAAATAGTAGCAATTTTTCAAAAAAAAAAAAAAAGGGGGGAATGGATTTATGCACCGTTACTCCCCCTTCCCAGGATAGGAATAAAATCCACAGAGTTTAAAACAAAGAAGGCAATTCCAGCTAAATCTATGGAGGAATTCCTTGACTCTACAAGCGGTCAGCCAGGATGCCTTATGAAATGGTGTCTCCTCCTTCCGTTGAGGTCTTCAAACTGGGTGATCATCATCTAACAAGAGTCTCCAAACTTGGCAGCTTTAAGACTTGTGGACTTCAACTCCCAGAATTCTCCAGCCAGCATGCTTAGACCTTACAACAACAAGAGTTACGCCTGGTTCAAAAAGCTGTCAATCTTCAGCCTTTAAAAGCCGTCTCTGCAGCCATTTCTCTTCTCTTGCCGATTCTCTTGTTTTCAACTCGCATCTTTTATTCTGATCAGTGAAGACCAAGGACGCCTAATTTCTAGGTCGTTACAGGTAGGCCTCGACTTACAACCACAACTGAGCCCAGAATTTCCTTTGCTAAGGAAAGGCAGTCGTTAAGTGAATTTTGCCCTATTTTACGACCTTTTTTGCCGTAGTTGTTAAGTGAATCACTGCAGATGTTACGCTAGTAACACGGTTGTTCGGTGAATCTGGCTTCTCCATTGACTTAGCTTGTCAGAAGGTCACAAAAGCGGATCATATGAGCCTAGGACACTGCAACGGTCATAACTATGAGACAGTTGCCAAATATCCGAATTTTGCTCTGGGATGCTACAACAGTTGTCACTGTGAAAAAATGGTGATGTTGCTTTTTTCCCCAGTGCTGTTACAACTTCGAACGGTCACTAAACGAATGGTTATAAGTCGAGGACTACCTATATCTGAGAAACTTACCTTATGGCTGGATAAATACCTTACCATTTCGCAGGGAGGGAGGCTTCTCCTAAGACCAGATGCCCCCCAACCCCCCAATGCCAAAAATTACTATCAAATGAAAACTTAAAATGTCCCAAGTGGAAAATTATCAACAACCTTTGCAGGACAGGTAGTTTCGACTTACGACGGCAATTAGGAGCAGAATTTCTGTTCCTATGCAAGGCGGTTGTTAATTTGACTTATGTCCGGTTTTACAAACTTTTTTTTTTTTGCCAATTCTCTGCAGTTGTTAAGTGACTCATGCCATCATTAAACAAATCCTGCTTCCTTCCATTGACTTTGCTTGTCGGAAGCCGGCTCGGAAGATCTCAAATGTTGATCACGTGATCCCAGGAATGCCGCAATCTTTATAAATACATGGCAGTTGCCAAAAGCACCCTAATTCTGATCACGTGGCCATAGGGAAGCTGTGACCATCATAAGTGTGAGGACTTTACTTCAGCGGCTTTACTTCAGTGCCGTTATAACTTTGAAGAGTCACCAAACCAATGATTGTAAGTCAAGGACTACCTATAATTATGTAAACCCAATGAAATTTGTATAAATTTAGATTGAATGGTAGGGATTTTTTTACCTGCCACCCCCAGAACCCATCCAATTTTGGGGTGCCCTGCCCAGAAGTTGAACGTGCCTATCCTAAACCCCAAATACAAACAACCTTACATTTCTCTTAACCAAAATCACCTCTCTATAGCTCTTTGGGGTTTTTTTCTTACCCTAATACTCTCATATGTGGCCGCAGCTCTTTCTGGATCATTATCATGCAGTTTAAAAGCGAATCCGGTCTCGACCAGACCTGGAGAAATACACTAAAGAAAGAAAAAAACAGGAATAAAACAGGAAAAAAGAAAAACAGCATCCTATTTTACATATATACACTGCTCAAAAAAATAAAGGGAACACAAGCAGAAGACATCCGAAATCTGAATGCATGAAATAGCCTTATTAAATACTTTGTTCGTTACATACAGTAGTTTTGTGTTCCCTTTAGTTGTTTGAGCAGTGTATAAACTCCTGTTTGTAAAGAACAAAGTATTTAATAAGGCTATTTCATTCATTCAGATCTCGGATGTCTTCTGCTTGTGCTCCCTTTATTTTTTTGAGCAGTAGATATATCAGTGGTGGGTTCCACTTCCTTCACTATCGGTTCGGCATTGTGACTGCACGCGCAGCGCTTCTGCACATGCACAGACCGTCCGTGATGACATCCGGGCGGGTGGCAGAGCCTCCCGCCGCTACCAGTTTGCACGAACCGGGTCGAACCAGTAGAAATCCACCACTGATATATATGTACAATATATATGTTGTGACCTGTCGGCTGCCAGCCCCTCCAGCAGCCAAATCAGAGGAGGAGGAGGAGGAGGAGATGTGGGAGTCAGGGTCAGCATCAAGGTAACCGAGGAGGAAGAGGGAGTGCAGCTGGCAGAGAGAGAGAGAGAGAAACAGAGGTGGAGCCTGGGCCATCCGTCAGCACTCAGATGGAGAGTCAACAGCCCCCAGGTCTGGAGTGGCTGATGAGGAAGAGGAGGAATAGCTGGGTCCAGTGCCTGACGCTTGGATGAGCAGAAGGTAGAGGAGAGGAGAGCAGTGGAAATCTATGGGCCGGTCCTTGGGATGGAAGAGCCACCGCTGCTAGCGATCCACCCTAGCTGTGGGGATCAAAGGCAGGAGGCGGAGATGAATAGATGTGGCAGACAGGATGGACTTGTTAGCCTGCCGTGAGTGAGAAACATTTTGCCGGAGCTGCTGGCACTCCTGATAAAGGAATCTTTTGAGTTAACTTCAGAGGGTTTGTCGTGTTTGGGGAGCTGGGTCCAGATGTCTTTTGGAAAAGCATCTTTGGGACAACCATGAGCTGGATGACTGAGGATCTCCGTAGACATCTAAGTAACTCCAATCAGATATTAAAAATAAATTCAGGGTTTCCTGCCCTAAGCAGGGGGTTGGACTAGAAGACCTCCAAGGTCCCTTCCAACTCTGTTATTCTATTCTACATCTTAATCAATTCTGGAAGGTTTACATCAATCATCTGGCCATGCCTATAATCTCTAGCCCGCTTTGAAGTTGATGTCCAAATATTCACGGAACTATGTATAAATAAATGGAATAAATAGAGTTATAAATAAAATAGTGGGTCTGTACTGAGTGGGAGTGATTAAAGTTGTAGCCCAGTGTTTCTCCATTGTGGCCATTTTAAAATGGCAGGACTTCAACTCCCAGAATTCCCCCAGCCAGCAAGGGAATTGCAGTCCACACATCTTAAAAGCATGCTGGCGGGGGAATTCTGGGAGTTGAAGTCCACCCATCTTAAAAGGGCCACGGTTGAAGGACACTACTGTAGACTGTAGACAGCCTGACCGGAAATTTGCCAACGATGCTCTATGCACATGGTGCAAACAAAGAGGACTAGCATCATGAATGTCCATAAACCTGGTCTGCTGATGAGGATATTCCAATCTGGTCCGTTTTGGAAAAGAGAAATCTTTTCTGACTCACAAAGCAGGGCAGGGATGCAGGGAATTGAACCCAGGACTTGAGACAAGCAAAACAGTCCAATCAGAGTTACTCACGGTGGCTCGTATGTGTGTCTTTGCTTCTCTTAGTTCCTGCCGAAGCCCTTCGGTTAAAGCCGTGACAGCGTATTTTGTGGCGCTGTAAAAGTGTACAACCGACTCTGGGATGACCCTGTGACCGCCCATGCTGGACATGACGCAGGGGGGGAAAAATGAAAGGCAAAAGAAGGGGAAAATATTTAGTATAGATAGTCCTCGACTTACAACCACAAGTGAGTCCAACATTTTGTTGCTAAGCAAGGAAGTTGTGCCCCATTTTACGAACTTTTTATTTATTTATTTATTTTATTGGATTCCTATACCGCCCTACTACTTTTGTCACAGTTGTTAAGCTTAGCGCATTGTAAGCCGCCCTGAGTCTCCGGAGAAGGGCGGCATATAAATCAAATTTAAAAAAATAAATAAAATCACTGCAGTTGTTAAGTGAAATACACACACACACACACACACACACACTCACACTGCATGGATAGATAGATAGATAGATAGATAGATAGATAGATAGATAGATAGATAGATAGATAGATAGATAGATAGATAGATAGATAGATAGACAGACAGACAGACAGACAGACAAACATATAGATGATAGATATGGTAGATAGAGAGATTAGATAGATATAGAGAGAGAGAGATAGACAGACAGACAGACAGACAGACAGACAGAGATAGTTATGGTAGATAGAGAGAGATTAGATAGATATAGATAGATAGACATATAGATGATAGATAGATAGATAGATAGATATAGACATAGATGATAGATAGATAGATAAACAGACAGATAGACAGACAGACATATAGATGATAGATAAATAGATAGACAGACAGACATATAGATGATAGATAGACAGACATATAGATAGATAGACATATAGATGATAGACAGACATATAGATGATAGATAAACAGACATATAGATGATAGCTAGAGATAGACAGACAGACATATAGATTTCAGTTTTCCTTATTCATTCTTCTCTGTGGAGGCACCTACCCTCTGGAACCAGCTGCCCCCTGAGATAAGGAGAATCCAAGACCTCGGTGCCTTCCGCCGTGCCCTTAAAACTTTCTTTTTCCAGCAAGCCGGGCTGGCTTAACATATTTTTAAATATTTTAATTGGTTTGTCATTTTAAACTGGGGCCAAATTAATATATATTCTTTTAATTGTTCTTAATGTTTGTATTGTATGTTTTTATCTGAGATGATAGCTAGAGATAGACAGACAGACATATAGATGATAGATAGACAGATAGACAGACATATAGATGATAGATATGGTAGATACGGTAGAGAGAGAGATTAGATAGAAGATAGATGATAGATAGATAGATAGACATAAATGAGAGAGAGAGAGAGATCTGTGTGTGTATGTATTTCACTTAACAACTGCACACACACATATTCACTCACAACAGCCACAACCTCATTCAGAGTGGCAGATAGTGAGGAATGCTGGGCCATGTAGTTCATGCTTGTTTTCCACAGCTTGCCCACCCAGAAGAAAGGGCCAATACAGGTAGTCCTCGACTTACGACCACAATTGAGCCCAGAATTTCTGTTGTTAAGCGAGACATTTGTTAAGTGAGTTTTGCCCCATTTTGCAACTTTTCTTGCCACAGCTATGAAATGAATTAGTGCAGTTGATAAGTTTTAGTAACCCGGTTGTTAAGTGAATCTGGGTTCCCCATTGACTTTGCTGGTCAGAAGGTCGCAAAAGAGGAGCACATGACCTTGGGACACTGCGACCGTCATAAGTACGAGCCAGTTGCCAAGCATCTGAATTCTGATCACATGACCCCGGGGATGCTGCAAATGTTGTAACTGTGAAAAACGGTGGTAAGTCTCTTTCTACACTGCCGTTGTAACTTTGAACAGTCACTAAACAAACTGTTGAAAGTCAAGGACTACCTTTATATGCATTGTCACAGATTTAGGACAGTTACAATGGTCTAATTGCAAAAATTCAGTTTTCCTTATTCATTCATTCGTTCATTTATTCATAGATGCCCATCTCATATCAGTGTGTGGCTCACAAAATTAAAGAATCACTGCCAAATACAAGAAACAAAATAAAGTAGACCCTAGAACTGTATTAAAATCAAATTAAAGAAATATCAAAAAGATAATCCGTGAGATTTGGGATATTTTCTTCAATTTAGCAATCTTTAGCGGCGCGTTGGTTACGCTGGCTGGTCTGGTGGAAGGTGTAGCCCATATAAAGGACATATAAAGAATGCTGTAGGGCAGGGATGTCAAACTGGTGGCCTGTGGGCTGGATGCATCACCCGCAGGCCACGGTCACCCCACCTCCGCGAAGGGGAAAAACATCGCGAAACATCACATGACGGCAACGTGACGCACCAAGTTTGACACCCATGCTGTAGGGGAAGGTTCCTTAAAAACCAGGAGATCGTGAATTCTAGCTTCCTTAGACATGAAAGCTGCTGGGTGACTTTGGGCCAATCACCAGTAAACTGTGAGTTCTAGTCCTGCCTTAGGCCTGAAAGCCAGCTGGGTGACTTTGAGCTAATCATGAGGAGCCTGGGAGTTCTAGTCCCGCTTTAGGCCTGAAAGCCAACTGGATGACTTTGAGCCAATCACGAGGAGTCTGAGAGTTCTAGTCCCGCCTTAGGCATGAAAGCCAGCTGGGTGATTTTGATCCAATCACGAGGAGACTGAGAGTTCTAGTCCCGCCTTAGGCCTGAAAGCCAGCTGGGTGACTTTGGGCCAATCACTAGGTGACTGAGAGTTCTAGTCCCGCCTTAGGCATGAAAGCCAGCTGGGTGATTTTGATCCAATCATGAGGAGACTGAGAGTTCTAGTCCCGCCTTAGGCATGAAAGCCAGCTGGGTGATTTTGATCCAATCACGAGGAGACTGAGAGTTCTAGTCCCGCCTTAGCCATGAAAGCCGACTAGGTGATTTTGCGCCAGTTACTCTTTCTCTCTCAGGCCCAACCTTCCTTGCAGGGTTGTTGTGCAGAAAATAGGAGGAGTTAGCCACTTTGAGCTATTTATCAAAACAATAAAGGCAGAAAATAAATAAATAAGTTAAATAAATTAGTAAATGTAAGTAAGTAAATAAATAACTAAATAAATAAATAAATGTTCACTTGTGCAATTTCCCTACCTGTTAATGTTGATGATGTGTCCATCGTCAATATTTCTTTCCTTCATGGATTGGTAAGCTTCCCGCGTGCAGATGCTGACCGCTAAGATATTGACCTGGAAAAAGCAGAAAGAAAGAGAAGGCGGCTGGAAAATCAATCAGGGGCTTTGGATTTAAATAAATTAGCAATTACCAGCCCTGTACCTAACTTTTCATGCAGTCCGCAACAGCCCCTGTGGGCCTCTATTGAGATCTCCCGAATAAATAGTCCCATCAAATTTTCTTTTAATGAAAAAATGAGGGTCTTAAGCTTATCTGCTCTCAATTATTTTACGGCTTTTCTTTTCCTCTTAGGTCCGTGATTGTGTTTGCTTTCGGGCAGTTAATGACTGTAATCAAAGGTTGGATTTTATTTGATAACAATAAACGCCGTGTTTAAATAAATGGGCAAAAAATATGCGAGAAGAACTAATCTTACCAGATTCTGATATTCCGCTCTGGATGCTCAAAAGAGCTGGGCGCAAAAAAAAAAAAAATAAATGCAAAAACCGTGCAAGATTTTAAAACGAGGTCAAAATGTGGCGCAACCTTGGTGATGTTCTGAGATGTTGGGGGGTGGGAGGCGCTGTTGAATGCTTATGCCATTGCTCAAACGAGGAAACAAACGGAGCAGGTCACTGACCTCTGAGGTAAATAATTTGAACAATACACTAAAGTTCAAATGAATAAACACGGCTTTACTATGGCCTCCTTCCAGGAAGGAGGAGAAGGAGGAGAAAGCACAAGGAGGTTGAGAAGGAGGAGGTGGAGGAGAAGGTGGAGGAGGAGGGGGAGCACAAGGAGGTTGAGAAGGAGGAGGAGGAAGAAGAAAAGGAAGCACAAGAATGAGGTTGAGGTTGAGATGGAGGAGAAGAAGGAGAAAGTACAAGGAGGAGGTTGAGGTTGAGATGGAGGAAAAGAAGGAGAAAGCACAAGGAGGAGGTTGAGATTCAGATGGAGGAAAAGAAGGAGAAAGTACAAGGAGGAGATTGAGGTTGAGATGGAGGAGAAGGAGAACGTACAAGGAGGAGGTTGAGGTTGAGGTTGAGATGGAGGAGAAGAAGGAGAAAGTACAGAAAAGAGGTTGAGGTTGAGATGGAGGAGAAGGAGAAGGAGAAGGAGGAGAAAGTACGAGGAGGAGGTTGAGGTTGAGATGGAGGAGAAGAAGGAGAAAGTACAAAAAAAGAGGTTGAGGTTGAGATGAAGGAGAAGGAGGAGAAAGTACAAGGAGGAGGTTGAGGTTGAGATGGAGGAGAAGGAGGAGAAAGTACAAGGAGGAGGTTGAGGTTGAGATGGAGGAGAAGGAGGAGAAAGTACAAGAAGGAGGTTGAGGTTGAGATGAAGAAGGAGAAGGAGAAGAACAATGAGGAAGAAGTAGGCAGTTTATATGGAAAAAGAGGAGGAGGTGGTTGGGTAGAGCAGCAGAAGAAAAATAATGACGAAGAGAAAGAAGAAACGATATGAAAGAAGTTGGTGGTCGAGGTAGAACAGAAGGAAGAGGGGCAGAAGAGTGAGGAGGAAGAGAAAGAAGAGGAAAATGACATGAAAGAGGAAGAGGAGATGGTGGTTGAGATAGAACAGAAGAAGGAACAGGAAATAAATCAATTATGTTGGCGCTGTCAATCGCTTGGATGGGCTGAGAAATCCAAAACTACAGAGCCACATACAAATATAAATTTGACTGTAGAAGATGTCAAGGAGCACACCAGCCCATGTGGAGGAACTTTAGCTTTCTTGACGTGCTGAACATTTTGGCAGCACGCCAAACACCCTCTGCGGATGGGTCGAGAAGGTTCCCTGGAGATTCCTTTCCCCCCCACCAACTCACATCTATCATGGTTCTCCAACCCTCGGTCTTTCCAGACAGCAGAGGTTCTGGCCGTGCCAAGCCAGCATTGTTGATGCAGACATCAACCCCTTGATGGAGAGTCTTGATGGCGGAGAACATGGAGAGAATCTCTTCTTCCACTGAGAGGTCACACTTATATGGGATGAGGACGCCCGGATACCCAGCACTCTCGCACTCAGCTGCCAACTTCTGAAAGGGGAACAAGAAAAGAGAGTGTTCTCACTTGGCCTTCACAGACACAAGAAACAGACTCCCTGCAAAGAAAAACCCCTATTTACTGATAACTCAGCGTTGCCCGGGTTTTTATGTATCCCAATCCTTACAGACTTTTAAAAGTATACATACAATATACACATTATATTGTAAAATCATACACAAAATCAGTATAAGTCTTTGGGCCCCACCCTCTGTCCATCTGGCTGCCCATGCCCACCGGTAACCACCATCCGGTGGCAGGTGGCATTGAGGCTCCGCATGGTTGGCCACCAGGGTAACCACCTGGGCCAACACCCATCTGGTGGCAACAGTCCTCGTTGCTGTCCGGAATGACCCAGCGGGTAGCGCATGGCCACTGCAGAGGGCCACTGGGACTGATCAGCTGGGCAGTGCAGCCCCTATATTCATCCCAAAGGGTGTTAAGGCCGTATTACCCCCACAGTATTTGTTTCTAGAGAGTAAGTCACCTGTGTACCAAGTTTGGTTGAAATTGCTCGAGGCGTTCCAGAGTTATGCTGGAACACACACACAGCCGTTTATATATATTAACTGCCTTCATCAATAGAAAGTCCAAGCAAAAGTCCTGCAAGGAGTTAACTGAAAGAATAGTCCTTATCAGCTCATTATGATAAATGCAAGGCTGTGAGCTCCCAGCCAGGAGGCTGCCAATTAAGTCAGTTCAAACAGAGAAATAGACAAACTTCAATTCTGGCAAGGCAGGAAACACACAAGGAGCAAACTTTCCAGAAATGCGACTGGTTGTCTGCGACAACCAAACCATTCCACTTTCCTCCTATTTATTCCCCAGGCAGTCAGTGTCCACGTTTGTTTAACTTTCCAAGCTGGCTCATTGTCAGAGGTGGTATTCAGCCGGTTCGGACTGGTTCACCCGAACCGGTAGCGGAAATCACGGGTGGGCCCGCCCACGCCCACGCCCACGCCCACATACCCCAGCTCTATGCCATCCTATTTAGGCACGATTTTGAGGCTGGGCACATGCATGGAAGGCGCACCACGAGCAAAGTACATGTGCAGAAGGCTGGGCGCATGTGTGGAAGGCAGGTGTGCGTGCAAACCAGGCGCACGTGCGCACAAAGTGAGCATGTGTGCAGGGGCGAACCGGTAGTAACATAATGTGAAACCCACCGCTCCTCATTGTCCTCCATTATTCACCTCTCCTATCTGCTCTGTGCATACGTAGATCTGGAACAGGCCCCAGCTGTTCCTCCTCCTCCTCACTCATCTCTTGACTCCAAAGGCAGCTGCCTCTCTGGCTGGGAAATACCGAACAGCCTGGCTCTATCTCTGCATCCGACGCTGAGCATCGATCAGCGCCTTCCCCAGGCTCCGGAACCTGCCCAAGTTCTTCCCCAAACTCCTCATCTGCTAGCAGCTGGCGGGCCACAACAGACAGAGACTGAGAGGGAATAACTGGAATTCATTCATATTTTAGATACATTTTCACGTTCCATGAAAACAAAAGTTTCAAAGTGGAGATAGGGGTGAAGCTGTGGTTACGGGGAAATCTGTTTGGATAGATATTTTGAAGGCGGTGATGGATCTGTAGGGGAGTTCGTGTACATCAGGATTAAATCTACGCCACTGCTTTAGACGACTCAACGCCAAAATTAGCATGAAGTCAAGAAGACAAGGTCTTACCTAACCACAGAAAGCATAAAACTATAACTTCCAGGAACCTTGGTAGTACAGTGGTCCAAGGCACCCTGTTATTAAGCTGGTTATTAAGACCAGCTGCCTGCAATTACTGCAGGTTCGAATCTCGCCAAGGCTCAAGGTTGACTCAGCCTTCCATCCTTTCTAAGGTAGGTAAATTGAGGACCCAGTTTGTGGGGGCAATAAGCTGACTTTGTATAAATATATACAAAAGGATGAAGGCTATTGCTGAGCACATTGTAAGCCGCCCTGAGTCTCTGGAGAAGGGCGGCATATAAATCAAATTTAAAAAACCAAAAAAACCCCAATGCCATTGCTATCTTTCCATCAAGAGAGCCTAGGTTTGTAATTTTTTTTTTACTTTTATTTTTTATAAATTGCTCAGGCTGGCAAACATATTCAACACACCTTCCTTCTCCTTTTGTTTTCCCCATAACAACAACCCTGTGAGGTAGGTTGGAAAGAGAGAGAGAGAGAGAGAGAGAGAGAGGGAGGGAGGGAGGGGGAGGGAGGAGAGAGAGAGAGAGAGAGAGAGAGAGAGAGAGAGAGAGAGAGAGAGAGAGAGAGAGAGAGAGAGAGAGAGAGAGAGAGAGAGAGAGAGAGAGAGAGAGAGAGACTGGCCCAAAGTCACCCAGCTGGCTTTCACAGGACTAGAATTCATAGTCTCCTCATGATTGGGCTCAAAGTCACCCAGCTGGCTTTCATGCCTAAGGCGGGACTAGAACTCACAATCTCCTGGTGATTGGCCCAGCTGACTTTCATGGCTAAGGTGGGACTAGAACTCTCAGTCTCCTCATGATTGGGCTCAAAGTCACCCAGCTGGCTTTCAGGCCTAAGGTGGGACTACAATTCTCAGTCTCCTCGTGATTGGCCCAAAGTCACCCAGCTGGCTTTCAGGCCTAAGGCGGGACTAGAACTCTCAGTCTCCTCATGATTGGGCTCAAAGTCACCCAGCTGGCTTTCATGCCTAAGGCGGGACTAGAACTCACAATCTCCTGGTGATTGGCCCAGCTGACTTTCATGGCTAAGGTGGGACTAGAACTCTCTGTCTCCTCATGATTGGGCTCAGTCACCCAGCTGGCTTTCATGCCTAAGGCGGGACTAGAACTCACAGTCTCCTGGTTTCTAAGCCAACACCTTCACCACTACACCTCACCGGTTCTATGCATATTATGCCTTTTTCTAGAAGTTGTTAGCCAGAAGAAGTGTTATCAGATTTCTGATTTAAGCACCCTAACTATATCCACCCTAAAATTGTTGGGGGAAATTTCAAGGTTGAGGCCTGTCTCCCGTGAACTGTAGGGAACGAAAAATAATTTGGAAATTATTTGAGATGAAATCGAAGCGAAGGAATGCCGAAAGGAGCATTTTAGACTTTATAGGGGACTGACTGTGGTATTATGAAAACAAACAAAAAAACCCAGAACTGAAAGAAGCTGTGTCCAAAGAAAAACAAACAAGGAAGGAAGTTATAAATGCTGTGAGTTTGTTGAAAATACAGTGAGGCTGCAGATGTGAACGAGGTAGCTGGAGAAATACTAAAATATGGATACGGTTTGCATATAGAGTATAGAACAGAAAGGGACCTTGGAGGTCTTCTAGTCCAACCCTCTACTTATGTCAGGAGATCCTATACCAGTGATGGCAAAGCTGTGGCACGCGTGCCGAAGGTGGCACGCAGAGCCATATCAGTGGGCACACGAGTGTTGCCCTAGCTCAGCTACGGCCTTTCGGGCCTTCCGGGCCCACTGGAAGGCTATTTCCGGCCTCTGGAGGGCATTTTCGCCCTCCCCAGGCTCCTAGAAAGGCTCTGGAGGCTGGGGAGAGGGAAGAATGGGCCTTCCAGTCCCACCGGAAGTCGGCAAACAGGCCATTTCCGGCCACCGGAGGGCCTCCGGGGGATGGGGAAGGCTATTTTCACCCTCCCCAGGCTCCAAGTAAGCCTCTGGAGCCTGGGGAGGGCGAAAAACGGGCCTACTGGGCCCACCGTGCCATCGCGTGCCAAAAGCGGGGGGAGTGCAGGGGTGTCACGCGTGCCTGCGTAGGGGGAGCGGGGTGCACTGAATTATGGGTGTGGGCACATGTGAGTGCGACCCCCCCTGCACTCCCCCGCTTTTGGCACACGATGGCAAAAAGGTTAGCTATCACTGTCCTATACCATTTCATTGTCCAGTCTCTGTCCCAAAGCTGCTTTTTCAGGCGGAAACTGGACTTTCTTGTTTTTTCTTTGAAGAGATTTCACTTCTCATCCAAGAAGCTTCTTCAGCTCTGACTGGATGGTGGGGAATGGAAGGGTTTATATTCCTTGCAGACAGCTGGTCATTTGCATCCTTTTAGAGGGTCGTTGAGGCCACTTGGAGGCTTATCTGTGTCCTCAGGAACCATTTGCACCACTCAGGTGAGCCTGAGGACCCAGATAAACCCCCAAGTGGCCTCCACGACCCTCTAAAACAGAGGTCTTCAAACTTGGCAGCCTTAAGACTTGTGGACTTCAACTCCCAGAAATGTCCCCTTAATTATTTGAGATCCTTGTGACTAAATATAAAAGGATTGTTTATGGCGGTAGCAGGGGTGTGTTGCCCGAAGTCTTAAATGTACATGTGGTTTTTAATCAGACAATGCCATGTTGTTGGCTGGCCCAAAGATCTACAATGAATGATAGATGCTATGATGCAACGAAGAGGAAGAATCGTAAAACGAACGTAGCAAAGTCCAAGGCAGTTGGTGTTTTGCAGGAAGAATGGCGTGAATGACTGCAAATTATACACAAATTGCAAAAAAAAAATAATAAAAAATACTCAAGATAAAGTAAGTCAATAAATAAGCAAGTAAGTGCAAGGATCGGTTGCCATTTTTTTCAGCGCTGTCATAACTTTGAACAGTCACTAAACAAATGGTCATAAGTTGAGGATTACCTGTGAAAGGAATTCTTTTGGTGGTAGAGCAGACAGATTCAGGAAAGAGATTTAAGCAGAAGATAGAGAACCATCACGCAGACATGGGACGGTTGCAAGAGTCTTGGATTAAGGAGGGGTTGGGCTAAATGACCTCTAGATCCTGCCAGCATTTTGGCCACAGATCCAATCAGACGCAAGCAGAATTGACTTTGACAACTGTACGGAAATCCAAGTCTTTTTCCCCCACTAATAAATGCATCCAGTTTTGGTTGCTGTGATGTAAAAAAGATGTGGAGACTCTAGAAAGAGTGCAGAGATGAGCAACAAAGATGATTAAGGGACTGGGGGCTTAAAACATATAAAGAACGGTTGCTGGAATTGGTTATGTGAATGAAAAGAAGG